TAGGATATCAGCACTGAACCGATCTGATCTAAATCTGTACAATTTGCCTTGTCTATATTGAGATGACAACAACCTTCTCGTTGATTATAACTTCAAAATGGTTGGTCATGATTCTGAGGTCTATACTGTGACTTGGATGAGCGCTTATCGGTATTCTTGATAAAAGAACATAATCTTGAAACCATAGATTTGGGAAGGAATTTTACTTCAAGCAGAGGTTAAAATTCTTAAGGACAACCACAAGGATTTTATCTAGACAGGTAGATAACATTAGTGTACAGAATAGCATATATTATTCCTTAAATATTAAAAAAACATCATAATAAGAATAAAGCAGATTGATTTTACACAACCGAAAGCAGACTTTCCAAATCTACACAGCTTTCCATCACGATATGAAAGTAAAGTGTAAAGCTTTCATAAGCCGAAGAAGTTTTTACCATTAACTTATATCGGAATGTAGACTGAAAAAAATATAGTTGCATGAGATTTTCGTTACAGCTGACAGCGTAACAGGGATTCTATAAAAAATAAGTCTTTTATCTTGAAAGGTCATGTAAGTTTAGAACATGTTTACGCGAGGGTTTTTAATGTCTAAAAAGTATTATACAAGGAGGAAATGCATTAACTTAAGTAATCAAGAGTGCTGCATTGTAAGCTTTCTACATTTCAGTTACAGGAGATGACGAATATATATAAAAATGGTTATTATTTGAACTTTGGAAATCTGAAATACGTTTCCTATGTAAATTAATGACAACTTTTTTATAGTAAAGTCACCCTATGGGTAAATAGCAGGACAGACTGGGTTCTATAGCCTTGGATGGCAACTGGTCTAGGAGAAGGAAAACTCTAAATTCAAAACCTGCGGAGGGTCGTTTGGGGACCTTGTGGCACGTAGTGCACCATGTCTCTGTATTCGGCCCTTCAAAAAGTGTGGATGGTTCTGCACGAAACCTTCACCACTATAATCAAATCTCATGTGTTATACATGCGGATTTGGGGACCGCTTGTGAATTCCAAATTCCCATGAAACTCCCATATTGGATCCGGCTCACCCACCCCGGGTGAATGTCTTTACAAGAACAAGAGAGAGAACGCTGTACAATGCCTAGGGCCAGTCGAGGTATAGTGTTACGCTAGAAGAAGATAAACAGGTTAAGATTGTAGTGATCGGGGAAACATCCTCTTGGGAGTTGGTATCACAGAGCAGTGCTTCGAGGGAACAAATTCTCACAGATGGAATATGAAGAGGACGAGGGTGCTTCGCCTCAATGTGAGTGGCATGGCGTGTTCTAGCCGTGAAGGTTTCAACTGGCGGAACCAAAGAATGTAGTTCATCTAGAAGTAGTGATGGAACAGGGGGAGTCTCGCTACACGCCCCTCGCGAGAGCAAAGATGGAGGGTAGAAAATAATTCGTCACCCACAAGAACTCGGAGACAATTTTGAACTGCTTCTTGTTTTTAAACCATTTCTGATAACAAAAGAAAAACTTGGCTAATGAAAGTTTTTTGTTGTTCTCAAGTAATCTGTGAGATTTTCATGAATTTCATACTTTATGTGATTCCTAATTACAGGTTGTTCATCTTTTGCTTTGTAGCTCTTAGTGGCCAGGTATTGAACTCATAACGCTTTGGCTCAAGTCACTGGATTACTTCAACCAATGCTTTCATCCAAAGGGCCATAACAGAAACTGAGATCTCTAGAAAATGGCATGGCACGTGGAACTAGAACAATCTACCTCGGTGGACTAAATAAAGGTTTTAGTTTGAAATTCCAATGTATGACACCTAAAGAAGTTTGGAATGTATAGCAGCCGAAACGTCATAAATATGACAGTAAAGATGAAGACAACAGTCCAAACAATGTAAATAGTGTAAATAACAAATTTTCTATTTGAATTTCTTATATTGAATTATTATTATTATTATTATTATTATTATTATTATTATTATTCTAAATTGCTTCTTTCAAGTCAGTTTATTTGAACTTCTTTGATCCGGATCTTTACCTCTTGGCTATTCTCAAGTTATTTGTGAGATTTTCATGAACTTCATAATGTTGTTTATCCTTGGATATTTCATAATGTTGTTTATCCTTGGATATTTCACGTTTGTGTCTGTATGAGTGTAATAACCCACAGATTTAACACAAAAAATGATTTATTTACTTTCGCCATCACTTGTTAAGACAATTTAAAATCTTTTCTACCATCAATTGTTAAAACCCAAGTTAAAATCATTTTGTCATCATCAATTATTACTATAAAAGTCTCTGAATATTTTAAGCACTTCAGGCATAACAGTCTCTGCAAATGCAAAACTTGTCCTTGGACATGATTCTCTTACCAATTCTCTTTAGGTGCACCCACTGAAGACAACAGTCACAGACCAGAGAATCCATTTTGTTCAAGTCCTGCCTACACAAGTGCACATCGTGGATTCGTAACGTTTCAGTTTTTCTTATTGTTCAGCAAATGAACTAAAAGTAACCCCAACACGGAGTTCCATAGCTACTGAATGAATATTGTTTATTGTTTTATGAATATATATATATATATATATATATATATATATATATATATATATATATATATTTTTACTGTTTTACTGGGGACCGCAAAATAGCTTATTCGTATGAAAATCACATTTTTTACCATTCTTTTCATCTCAAATTAATATTCTTTGATATCACAGAAATAATGAGCCAATCCTTTGATACAAATTGATTAATGTCCTCATCTTTGATATGTATCACAACTTTTCAGCTGTTATGGCCTACGGCCTTCATCAGATGTATCTCTACCCGGGTAACCTACACGAAATTCCGAAATTAATTCTTTATTTACTTTACTGTGTGAACTGGTCGTGAAAGTTCTAGGGATACTTGATCTAGTCTTTATTTTTAGGTCAGCTTCGTTGTTGCTCAGCCTGTTTCCACTGAGACCAATTACTGGAAGTCAACTCCCAATTACCCTCCAAATGCGCGAGCCAGCACCTTAATCCATTAGGTCAAAGGTCAGTCGCCTAAGGCACGCGTGCCGAACATGGCACGCTAAGAAATTTCCAATGGCACGCAGCCGCAAATGACATCAAGAAGTCCGAACCAATAGCAACTACAACACAAAGAAGATATTTAGCTGATTCAATTTTAATATATACTAAAGTATATATACTATATATTACTATATAAAATATATTGTAGAACCTTGACTTGTATAAAAATACGTCATCTGTTGGCAAACTGAATGATTTTAAAATGCTACAAAACTATCTTTTAAACCATTACTTGTCTAGATTTTTTGTTCTTTTATTACAACTGCTGTTGTTGATCGATATGGATCTGATGAAGGCCGGAGTATACAACGGCCGAAACGCGGTGATAATATAAATGGGATATATTTGCTAGAAATAAAAAAAAGAGTTATGAACTCATCATTCTAATTTATTTTCGCTCTTTCTAGTGAATAGTGGGCAACATGCTCGCAAATAAAGAGACTTAATATGACAAAATGGTGGTTCAACCGACGGACACCGAGAATACTATGTACAGAACATATCAGCAAGGAGAAATTTTAAGGAAAAAATGACCTACAAGAAAGAGACAGTTTAAATTTCTGGGGAGCATAGTGAGGAACGAGGCCTTGAAAATCAATCAGAGGATATACCAATATTAAGAAACTGAGGGAAATACACTATTTTCATTATTCAGACTATTGTCCTCATCTTTGCGCCATGTTTATCACAACGTTTCCGCCGTATTACGATCCGACCTTCTTCAGGTGGTTGGAATGTCGAACTGGACCCTTTATTTCGCTCACTGGGGTAGACTGTCCTAGTTCCGCGTGCCATGTCTAATGGATGTCAGTTATCTCAAAGTTCTCCACTGCCTTAACCAGGTATTGAACTCACACTCTTTGGGTCCTGTCACTGGATCTAACCAACGTTTTTATCCACCGTGTCATGTGTCGATGAGGACATATGTGTATGAATTTCTGGGTATTATAAACCTAATGTCTTCAGCAACCATTTCTTACCAGTGCTCATATTCCAATTGTTGCTATTATCATTGTATTTTTTTTTTTACCGGAGCTCATATTGCATTTTTTTATTATCGCTTTTCTCTGGCACTCGTTATTACTAGTTCCCATATTGTATTGATTTCTATGCTTAGTCGGCTCAGAAGATTTTTGTGGCTTAGCATATGTGCTGATTCCTTAAGTTTACGAATTTTCCAATGATGTTCTTTTCTATGATCTCAACTTGATCCTACAGAGGGCGGTGATCTCCCTTTTCTCTCCATATATGGTCAGTCACGCCGAATAATGTAAATAGTGTAGATAATACCTCATTTCAGAAATATAGACAGATACCGAGGGAAATATCAAGTCATCTACTTAACGGATGTGATTAATGAAAAGAACAAGAGTATGGACGTTGTGGAGAGCCATAATCTTCTACGTCCTGAATGATATAGTACATAAAAGAAGCAGATCCAGAGTGATGCATCGATTTTGATGATCCTAATCCATTCTAGCGATGAATGCCTTCTTGGTTATCAGTAAGCCTCAGCACGGCCAAAGATTGATTTCATCGACTTGCTTTTTTTAGGGGGGGGGTTTACTCTTCTATAGATGAAGAAATATTATCTCTCTACTTTTCTGGGTCTTTTATTTCACCCAACCAAAGCGAACTGTCAAAGACAGGCTGTTTAATCAAAGTCTGATTTTCTTTTAATCTTTCACACGCCTGAAGAGTTCTTCCATCTATTCAAATGAAGGAAAGGGCATTCAAAGAATAATCACGCATGAGAGAGATACGGTCTCGGTACTTCCGCCTATCTATCTATCTATCTATCTATCTATCTATCTATCTATCTATCTCTCTCTCTCTCTCTATATATATATATATATATATATATATATATATATATATATATTATTCTGATCTATCTATCAATCTATCTAATTATGATCTAGCTATATATCTTATTCTGATCT